GAAGGTCATATAAAATAAAATTTGGTAGACAATAATTTCTTTTTGAAAAAATATTTCGAATTACTTCATTTTAATTAAAAGAAAGTAACCTGTGGAAACACAGCTATGAAAAACAGACTACTTTTAAATGTCATTATTATTTTTATATGTTACCAACATTACATCTGAATCTTCTAACTGTAGATTATAAATTTCCCCTCAGAGAAAAATACAAATATTGATACAAAGACTAAAAGATTATTGCCAAAAAATTATGAGGGTTACTTCCTTGACTCTTCTACCTGTGTTTACAAGAGAGAAAGTGTTTATCAAGCCACATACCCAGATCTTGTTGAATGTAATATATATTCAAGTATAAATGTTTCAGGACAATGTAACATTTACAGTGAATATATTACAATGAAAATAGGAGTAAAACTTGAGCTATGTAATCATATATAGCATTAAATAAAATTAATAATTGTGATGATCCAGTATGTGTTATTTGAATCCTGCATTTATATCCCATTTTTCCTTTTTTAAATTAAGAAACCCATTGCTACTAGTGTGACATTTTATTTTCTTTCTCTGACTTTGTGTTTTGTTTTGTGTATTTAATAAGATGTTCTTTTATTTTAAATATGTATTATGTATTCATTTTTTTCTATAACCATTTTAGTGCCTGAAGGACCACCACAAAACTGTGTAACAGGCAACATCACAGGAAAATCCTTTTCAATTTCATGGGATCCACCAACTATAATAACAGGGAAGTTTAGTTATAGAGTTGAATTATATGGACCATTAGGTAAGTCTTAACTGGTTTTCTGTTTACTTTTTGGAGAAGAATTATAAAATATGTTAGTAATATCAAACTCTTTAAAAGTATTAGTGTCTTTTTAAAAGACTCTAAGACTGAAGCAAATAATATAAAAGTAATAAGGAAGGTGAGGTTTTTTTATTTTTTTGTTTAAAACCATAAATGACCAAAAGGATGACAAAACATTACCCATGTTCCATGTTCCATGTGGAACACATGAAAGAATTAGAGATAATCCCTCAAGAAAAGAAATATTAGGAGAGATACAATCCTTCACATACTTGAACAAGAAGACTTTGACCTATAATCATGAAGAACAATGGCTTAGATTATTAAATCGGATTTCCATTTAGAATAAGGAACTTATTTCTAATAATTTGAGAGAGCTCTCTAAAAACAAGACGGAAAAATCTCTATCTTCTGCTCTATTTTTCTGTGAAACTGAAACTGCTCTAAAAAAATAAGATCTATTAAAGAAAGTAATATGGGCAGCTTTAGAAAGTGAAAATTTCTCCATCTTTGAAAACAGGCAGGACCTGAGCATCTACTTTTCAGAAATATTTTGAGGGGTTCAAATAATATATTGTTAGAAGTGAATTAAGTAAACTCTAAAATGTTTTCTTGATCTGAGATCCTATTCTTTCAATGAAAGAAGTTCAATTCAAATAATTATTAA